CCCTTTTGGGGAAAAGAGTTGGCAACGTTCGACGGGGAAACATGGAGTTGTATTCAGTAGAGATAGTACTTAGTCCCTGAAATCTGAAAATGTAGGAAGGTGGGAGACAACTGTGAGAAACAGAAATGCCAGAAAAATGTGGAGGATTTGGCAGCCCTGTCTTTATGTCTACTGTGTTACCCTGCAGAACAGAATCGAAGACAAACATATGAATGTGCTAACGTTGAAGTTATTGGATGCAAGTCTGTTACTGAATTGCTTTGGGGGATTTTTTATTTTTTTAGTTCCAAGGTTAATTTTTTTGTCATCGTTCTGCTGTATTTGGTTTCTCTTCAGATAATAGTATTGAAAAGTTACAGTGCTCCAGAACAACTCCAAACCTCTGTCTTTAAAAATGCTCATTTGATATTAGCCTCCTTTGGCTAAAACCATGTCAGATACAATTGAATGGTGTGAGATTGCCATTGCTTTGTGTCACAAGCCCAGGAACCAGACTGTAGTCATGAACCTTTCAGGAAAATCCATCATAAAAATACTGGTAGGAAGCTGGTTAATACCAGTCTAATGCAGTTAAACAGATTATCTTAACAGTACATAACTCTGCAACCCTTTTATAACTATATCACCTGGACTACCCAGTCCTTTTAACCATTATTATGCTACAAAGAGGGGAAAATTCAAAGTCCTTTGGATGCAAAAAGTTATCAAAAGTTGTCAGCAGGTGGCAAAACAGAGAGATGTTTTCAAAATCAGCCTAATCATTTTTCAGTATTGTGCTTACCTCTGATAGGAGATACTATTACTGCATCCCTCCTTGTCTGAAACTGCTTACAGCTGCTCTCTGCAGTTCACATCATGCGTGCAGTCAAATCTTCTCGTGTCTGCCACCACCAATGCCAAGCTGTATACTGTGGGAATACCATTTACCATCACGGCAGATAATGCTGAACTCATTACAAAGCTGTTAAAAGTGACCTAAAATTTATCTGTTCGAAGTATTATAATGTAACTATTGACCTCAATAGACTGACTGAACTCACAAAAAATAGTTTCAGTAATAAGAAGCAAAACAAAATGTTACTTGGTGTAAATATATAGAGTATCTTGCCCAGGAAGAAGGGAGTCAAACAGAGCACAGACCTGAGCTGCTAACTCATTCAGACTGGTCTTTTTTTCTTGAATTGGAACTGAAGTTGAACCGTTACTTTGAAGTCTTGGCTGTATTTGATCCAGAACTGAACTCCTTCCTGCCTGCCTGCCTTCCCGCAAAGTATCTCTAGCTACTGTTCTTAAATCCTGACCTCCTCCCATGCCAGCCCACGTAGCCTGCATCCTGTTGGCATCTGCATGGCAGCACTGTGTTGCAGTCTTTTCCGAGATGTCATCCTGCACTGCTTGAAATGCCATCCTGCACTGCTCTCGGTTGCTTTGGAGCTCCTTGCATGGACCAGTGCAAGACAGACCTTTCCTGCCTCTGACGCGAGGGACGCCCACTACAGTGTCGTGAGGTGGGGGGTTTGCACCTCCCACATGGCGTGGGCCTGCAGGGTCCCTCCTGTGGGGCCCCTGCACGTGACCTGGCTCGAGTGGCCGTACATGTGAATGCATATCTCCATACCTCGTTGTGTGCATTGCTGTCTGTCTGCGCTGAGCGCTGTAAGCCCAGACTTTTGTGGGATTGAAGGGGCAGAAGCATGCAGAATGGACGTCTCTCCTGATGCCCTGGGGCAGCCAGGACAGCACTGCAGACTGTGGTACAGCCCATCACACTCCCTCTGCCTTCCCACGCCCATGCCTGGGTTGGTGACAGGCTGCTCTGCACACCGCTGCTGAAGAGGCTGCAGGGGGAAGGAAGTTGGAAGCAGTCCAACCTCACACTGAGAGTCTGCTCCTGTCCTGTAACCCATAAATCTTGTCTTAATAGTTAGGCGGTTTGGTATGAGCAAGTTTGAGGTGGTTCATCACTACCCATACTAGTTAACAAATATTTACTGACCTCCAGCCAAGCTAAACTGCAATCACGCTATCAAATGTGGTAATTCTTCCCTGACTGTGAAATTCAAGACCATAGAAGTGAAAATTGATGCTTTTTTCTTTATTATGAGATGAATAAGGGCCGAAGCTTTGTGGTTTTCAAAACCCGGTTGTGATAAACATTGCCATGGCAATTAGACCATCTCAATGCGCAAGGTGAGAGGGCGCTAGCTCTGTGGTCGTCCTGGTCTTCCTGGGGCTTGTTGCCAGCGTGGATGCTAAAGCTCACCCAGGGGACCGGACCGCAGGCACCGGGTCCTCCCTTCTCAGTGCAGAGCACCAGTCGGATTTTCGTGCAGTTACCTGTGCTTTGCAACACAGAGCTATAAACATGTCAATAGAAACAGAGGAGTTTCTAAGTGGGCAGAAAATGGCGTGCTGCTGCACACATACTGATATGCCTCTGTCTCTTTGGGCTTCGCTTTTACTTAGCTTTCAAACTCTCATAAAACTCATTTATCTCTGGTGAAGGCTGCATGTGTTTTATTCATACTTCCAATCAGATGTGCTGCTACAGCTTTTCTTAGTTTTCATGGACCTCACGGGAAGACCCTTGTCCATTGAGGAGCTCGTGATCCGTGTACCAGTCGCCTTGAGCAGGCGCAGACATGCGCTGTGCTGTGCCATACTGTGCTGCAGGTATTGCTTGGCCTTCAGGACCGTGCTGTGCTGCCCATATCCCTTGCCATGAGGTACCCTCAGCTGGCTAATCGTAATGGAAGAGCCTGGAAGCGGCACCTACTTGGCACCAGTAGTGACACCACAAACAGGTCCTTGTCTTTATCTTGAGGTGAAGCAACATACTTTCATATAAACATCCCATTGAAAATCCTATAAAAACTCTAAAGACCTCAATGCGGGTGAACCTTGCCCCCGACGGGAAGTCTGGGCAGCGTGCCATGCCCTGATTGCAGGTCTATCTGATGCTGCATCATCTCGGGGTTCCAGCGTAAGAAGGAACATGAGATCTTGTAGCTTGCTGCCGCCTTTTCTGGGATATTAACAAAGTAGTTACCTTTCTTGAGAGTGTTTGTCATTCTTTTTTGGGGTCCAAAAAGAACCAGCACCTCTTGGTGCAAAGCCATAGTCCACTGCTATTTGTGAGTATAATTATAGATTTTGTAGAGAAAAATCTGTTCCTAAATATATGCCCATCCAGTTAGGCCACCATTAATGCTGTACATCATTAAGTCTTAGTCAATGTAATATTGTGCTGGGTGGGAAGGAATCCCAGGCTGAATCTATTTTTGACCTCTAATGGTTGATTTACAATGAGTTATAGTAGCAGAGTTCAAATGTTTGCTGATTATTGCTGAGCTGGACTACTATCAGGCAGTTTTAAAAATAAAACTTGCAATTCTAAGAGTATCATTGAAGTTCCTTAACAGAGCCCTGCTTGACCTTTCAGCAAATTCACTGGATTTTCTGAACCGGCACTCACTGGCAGGGCTTGTGCAGCAGGGCAATGCCACCCAGCATGGTCGCTGCTTAATGGGGCTATTGACCTCTCCTTGCTGGTTCTCCGCTTTTCATGAGGCTCTTCATGTTGTGTTGCAGTGCTCAAGATCTTTAAGTGTCTTCTTGGAGGAAACAATGGGAAACTAAATTGCCAGGTAGCAAGGAGCCTGTAGGAAACAAAAAATGATACGAAAAAGATAAATGAGCTGCAAAACGTCATCAGCTGGTTCAAGTATCAACTGTGTTGTGCCTGCAGAAGTGTGTCTGGGCTCTGCAATATCTATTCTCTTCCTCACAGAAGTTCAGTCTTCAGAAACTGGGGAAGAATGGGAGCCAAATTTGGCTGTCCTTTTTCAGAACTTCCCCAGGGTCAGTTTTGCCTGCACCTGGCCCTGGCCCTGGCCCTGTGTGCAGGCATGTAGGTTCATACACTAACGATAACCTCAGCTGGGCTGCAGGAGTATCTTCAAAAGAGTTTCCTTTCAAGGAAACGCACAAGCCCTTGGCAGTTATGTCCAGATGTGACTCTGCTGTGTATCTAATACTAATTAAATACTTGACAGGTGTTTTTTGGTTTTGTTTTGCAGGAAGAAATCATTCCTATTTTCAGCTCTGTATGCTGCCTTTATATTTGGTGGTCGGCACCTCATGAACAAACGAGCAAAATTTGAACTGAGGAAACCACTAGTCCTCTGGTCCCTGAGCCTTGCCGTCTTCAGGTAGGCATTTCTTTACACCAACTGCCTTTGACAGTAGTCCATGAAGAGGGTTTGGGGTTCTTCACATACAACAGCACTGCTAATGTGACAACAAGCTCACCCAGAAATGGCATTTCTTTAGTTCTGTTATTCAGGGTTATGTCCTGACCCACTCCTCACCATTGAAATGATCCCCTTTGACTTGCCGGATCATACGGCACTTGAAGAGGAGAGAAATCAATAACCCTCTTGAAGAACAAAGGTGAAAATAAAGTGAGGACACGAGAAAAAGCGCTTATCGTTGCAATTAATTTACCATGCAAGCTACAAATGGAAATAAACCAACTAAGATGTTAGTCTTGTTCTCACTTACTAGTTAGTTTTATGTTTATATGGTTGCATATATGGAATATTTAGTCGAGACTCTGATCTCCATTACAGTGAGGTAAACCTAAAGTCACAGCTTTGATGACAGGTAAATTAGGCCACTGTAACTGAAATCAGAATTTGGCTTCTGGTTATTCCATTGCAAAGAGCTTGTGAATGTAGCAAAAGGGTGGCTTCACAGGGAAGAGCTATTTTTTAGTGATGTGCATCTCTCTAGCTGTGTGTTGACTCTGTATCATTGAGTATGGGGAAAGTCAGGTTCTGATTCTTGACAGCTGCTGAAGTCAGGATTAAAACTGACCAACCTGAATTCCACTTTATCTGCTTAATGTGCTAATTTTTAATGAGGCTGAAGATAAACGAATGGATGAACAAATGCTTATAAAAATAGCCCTTACAAGCACACAAACTTTTGGTACAATTTACTAATAGCAGTACACGGAAGACCTGAGGATTATCCTTCATTTCAGTCCCTATTGGGAGTGTAAGTTATAGTTCACTCAACAGCATAGAAACCATTTGCAAACCATTATCAAACACTGATACCTGTATCTTTGTCTAATAGCAATATAATAATTACTGATTATATTAGTTCACAAGTACATAACCAGGTTTGCTTACTGAGCAGCTGTGAATGGTGCATGATTTTTCACAGGATGGGAATAGTTTGAG